TTACATAATTGAGAGGGATACATGCCCTGTGGACCTCTGATTACGGTGGGCAGGGTCAGGTAATTCATTTTCTAATGATCCTTTAAAAAGGTGCTTTTGTTTTACAGTTGCTTCTGACAGACAACTTGCAAAAGCTGGGCAAGTGTTCATGTATTTAGTGTTTTGGCGTCTATTGAGGCTTGTCGTGTCTTACTTTCGTCTGAAGGGATCCTGACAGACCCATGATCAATATACTTGAGCTCTAAGAGGTTTTGGTTCAAGTAACGGTGACAACAGACTTCTCATTGAACTCAATGCTCTTGGTTGGCCGTTAGAGCAGAGTGGTGCCCAGGCAGAGTGAAATCTACTCCACGTCTGGCCTGTGGACCAAATATGGCATCACATTGCACCCCAGATCTTAGAAGAGGGAAGTCACAGATAGAGCCACTGTACCTACAGCTGGGCAAGGGTACCCACCATGCCTGACTTACTACATTTTATAATATTTTGCTATATTTTACAAATATTCTAGTTACATTCATGCATTCTATTAAAGGGTTCTTAATTACCGTGGCACCAAAAAATTCTCCAATGACAGAAATGAAAAATGCCTCCTCCTAAGGATGAAATGCCAATGTGAATTCATTTACCTAAAAAGCTTTTCTTCTGAGGGCGCTGCAATCATTAAATGTTCACAGCTGCCTCATATCAGTTCTGTACAAGTGAGGGCACTGAGAAGCAAAAACATGAACTTGCATAAATCACACACAGCTAACATACACAGGAACCAAAAGAGCCCTGCAGGCTCAGAAACAACCCCACACAATCTGTGGATTCTGTGTTAGTAGTTTCTCTTCCTAAAATTCATTTGCAGCTCCAGAATCAATACTCATAGCCCTTTTAGGTCATTTTCAGACACGTGTGCATAGGGGTAAAATGATTTATTCAAAAGATGGGCACAGTCCCAACTGAGGTTAAACTAGGCGATTCCTATTTCAATGCTCAAATTGTAAACGAGTATCCAACTGTAAATGAGTGTGCAGTCTATGTTTTGTGATTTATGCCAATTTTGCTGTTGAAAATGAGCCAAAGCAAAGTGCTTAAGTGTTATCTAGCACCTGTAAACTCAAGCAGGCTGTGATGGACTTAATGGTGAAAAATACATGTTACGCAAGTTTCATGTATACACGAGAGTTACAGCACTACCGGCTGAGACTGTGTTAAAGAATCAATCACACACCTCTGTGAATTCCACATCACCATGTGGGGACTGCAGGCCTTCTCTGCTCCCTTTCCAGTGTCCTGCTGATGCACACTCTGCCGGGCCGGGAATACCTGAACGCAGTTCCTGACTCCTCACTTCCTCTCTCTCCCTCTCGAAGGCAGAAGCACAGAAACTGTCCATCAGCTGGCCGACTCCCTAAATGCCTGTGATGGCCAGAGCTGGACACACATCTTTCACAGGGTAGGAAAGGACATAGCCACGTGGGCCATATCTCCCTGAGCATACATTAGCAGGACAATGGAATGGGAGCAGGAAAGGAACTCAAGCACAGGCACCTCCACCTAAGATAAAGGGACACCAAATAGTGGCTTAACCCACTGCTCCACACTGCCAGCCCCCAAATTTAAACATATATGTACATATGTAGACACAGACATATGATGGAAACAAGCACACACAAAACAAAGCTATATATTGACAGCTGACAAAACTGACCAAGGCTCTTGAGGAACTTAACCCCGTATTTTCTCTAGGGGCAGAGTCAGAATAGATTAATACAGCATTTACAGCAACTAGAGATAACATGCTTATCGTTACCATTGTTGAATGTACATGCAATGCACCACGGGAAAGCCACCAAATATGGAGCACTTTGCAGAATAAGAGCTCATTTTCTACCACCCAAATGCTTGAGAATCCCCGAAGTAGACAACTGAAAGGCCTAGTGGTGATGTTGCTTCTGAAACTGACTTAGCTCTAAACACATGAGAATCCCACAATACACAAAGATAGCGATTTCATCACCAAGGACAAAGAGCCAAGCAGGCACAATAGGGTATCTGTATGCTAGGGGCATGCAAGGAGGAGTCACTGGCATGAGAGAATGTTCATCTGTATTATTTTCATCTCACCCTTCAGTTCCAATTTACAGTAAATTCTAATTCCACAGTACAGTGTGTACATAATTCAGAAATGACACTGACAGTGTCTGCTCCAATTCTGTGATGGTATATGATCAAAAGTGCTGGGGGGCGATCCCCGTATAGGGCCAGTCAATCAGCAGGGAGAAAACAAAGCCCCAACCAAACCCTCCAGAGGCGAGAGGCTCACAGGGCAGGGTGGGCCGGTGTCCACTCTGACCATGATACCCACAGCACACCCTTCACCTCAAATTCTCAGACAGGAAAAGAAACAATTACAACACTCATTATACATGGTCCTATGCACCCTTCCTATTCTGGCTATTTAAAATTCTGACTCAGAAAATAAAGTGCAATCGCTGGTAAGGAAAAGCTCTGCTTCAGGCTCCCTGGAGCCTCAGGGTTGCGTCATGGTTTGATGGAGCAAGAAGCTGGCACAGAGGAACACTAACATGGTGCCAAGAGAGAGGCTGTGGGGTCCTGCAAGAACCCTGCACTGCCCAGGTAAGTGGCTTCGTGCACACACTTAGCTCAAAGTGCTCAAAAAACATACGCCAACTGCCTGTTGAGCTGACCACCAAGCAGGCTGTTCAGTTTCACAGAGACTGTCACAGCTGCCCCAGTGCACAGCTAAATAGTACACTAATGGCTTGACTGGAAATACCAGTATTCACTTACCTCACCTATTCCCAAAGTCACCACATACAGCATCTGCCTTCTCTGGAGTCACGGCAGCTCAATGTCAGAGAACTGACTGCAGTCTCCACAAAGAACGTGGGCTTCCCAAGGGTACCTCAAGGGTTGCTTCTTTTATAATCCTCCATTTTCATTGGAGAACCAAACACCAAAATAAAATATGTGTCACCAGGAGTTATCCTGGTCCAAGGGTTCAGTCCTCAATCCATCGTAAACAGGTAATATAAGTTGTAATTGCTATCATATGCTTTTATGCTACTTCAGTTAATTAAAGTGCTGTCCTATCAACTGAGTCATTCAAAAACCTGGCAGCCATGTCAAGGAGACAGGACAAACACTGCGCTCCCCATTCCAGAGGCCAGCTGCAATAAAGCAAAGTTTTCAAACAACACAATTCTAGGCAAATTCTAGGCATTACCACTCAATAGAGCAGTACTCCTTTTCAGTAAAATGGAGGTCAAGCATGCACGTCACGGGTTTGGAGCTTCAGTGAAGGGTCTCACAGGCATTCAACTTTCTTTCCATCACTCTGCAGGAAGTCGGGCTGCAGGCCCACGGGTACCCTAACACACCTGTGTCATCCAGTTCCAGGCTCCAAGGACTAAACTTGTGACTTAGCACCCAGTTACAGGGCCGCCTGAAGGCTAGACCTTGTCACATTCTGCTACAAGTTGTTGTGAAGTGCCACTCTTGTAAGACTACTGTTACCCAAAGGTTCTGCGAAGTCTCCAGATACAGACACCTGGCTGAACATGTTCACACTAGCATTTCCCCACAGAATACACTTCATGAAATTTCTGCATGTTTACCATGTACAAAATATTCTAAGCATACTTTCAAAAACACTGGTTTTGAGAAATTTGTAACAAGTTATAAATTAGGTCAATGGAATAACAATAACAATATTACATGCCCAAGCAGGGCACAAGAAACTATCCTTCAAACAAGACCCCTGAATCAATCTTTTCCATCCTGTCTTGAATTTGCAGTCTGGTGTCAGAGCAAAAAAAAAAAAACAAAAAACAAAACAAAAAAATTCATTTAGACCACTAAAGAATTTTTCCTTTACCATCTCAGGATACGTTTGCCATGGGATTCCCAAGAATTGGCATACATCACCTAACGAAGACACCATCCAGGGAAAATGGTGGAGGATGGGTACTGTTGCTTATGGAATTGACTTGTCTGAGGCAATTTCGTCCCCAAGTACTCTAAGAATGGCACACACCTGACGCCCAGCACTACCTCTCCTGTCACCACTCCAGTGACCCCAGAGAAAGCCACAGCACCAGAAAGGACTAAAAACCACAAACCACAAAAATGAGGATCCCCCCTTTCTCTGAAAACCAAACCAAGTTATTCCGACATGCTCTACAAGAAGGAGCAGCATTTAGCGGCCATTCTGAGATTTGCCATAGGGGTCACTGGCTCATCACAAAATGTGGGAAAACGGGCTGGCACTGTGGCACAGTGCGTGAAGCTGCCACCTGCAGTGCCAGCAGCATCTTTCCAACATTATAGTAGCTAGATTATTAGACAGACTTAGAGAGCACACTGCATGTAAGAAGCCTACTCTAATGTGAAGTCGTGTGCTGTGCATGGGGTGTAGACTAGTTAACATGCACCCTAGGGAGGGGACGTTTTCACAACAGCTTTAAGCTGCCATGGCTAAAGGAACACTGAATCTTACAAATGACCAAGGGCGCCATAAACTAGCCCAGTCACGTTAAGAGAACACGGCGACATTCCCCGGCCACGAACAGCACCGGTGGGAACAAGCAGCCATCACGTCTCAAGAAAAGTCAAAAGTCAAAGTCATGTCGACACCCGGGGCTCCCCGCAGGGATGGGAGGGAGGACCAGAAGCGTGCAGGACCATCCCACTAAGGTCGCTGCGTTGCCAAACTCGCTCAAGTACCAGGCGAAGGGCCACCCGCAGCGGGACTGACCGGCCTCCCTCCTCGCTTCCCACCCATCTATCTAACCCAGCACGAGGCCAGGGAGAGTGAGGACAGAGACCGCGCCGTGAACAGCGCCCGCAACCTTCCCATTCCACAGAGGACACAGCCAGCCACACCGCCTCCTCCGGGAGCCTTGAGTCTGCAGTACTTCAAAAACAATAAACACACACAAACTGGCTTTTCAACACCGGTAACGTCCCCACTCCCTTCCGCCCCTCACCTTCACGAAAGCAATCGGGGTTGTGGTACCTTCGATATCTAACAGGATCACAGTGACTTCGGCGGGCACCGAAAGCACGACCATTTCCCTACCGGATGCTATTTCGGGACTCGGCCTATTCGGGTCCCCAGGGCCGAGGGCGGCGTCTACCCACGCACACACCCCAGAACCGTCCCGGGCTTCCCTAACAGCCGGGTCACCACGGCGGAGCCGGCGAGCGCGCGCGGCCCGTCGCGCGTCCCAGGGATCGAGGCGGTCCAGGCGAGGATGGAAGAGCAGCGGCCGCGCCGAGAGGGGACGCCGTGCGCTCGCGAGCGCTTCCACACCACGTGGGCCGGGCCGGCGGCGACTGGGGCAGGGCCGGGCCCGGACGCCCACGCCCCATTGGCCGCCGTCACCCGGCGGAGAGGGGCGGGAACCAAGGCGCGCAGGCGGGAGCGCGCCCTGCGCCAGGCGGGCGGAGCGAGCGGGGCGAGGCCTGGAGCACGTGCAGGCGGGAGCCCCTCGCGCGAGGGACGTGAGTGCCCCCCGACCCTCCACGGCCCTCGGCCGGACTCCCCTCCCCTGGCGCAGGGCGGTCACTCGCGGAACAGGGCCGTCCGGGGTGGGCCTCGGAAGCCCCCCGCCGCCGCGCCCCGTTCAGCGGAAGAGACGCCCGCACCGCGCCGCAGCGCCCGCTTCCTGTCCGGCTGGTTCCAGCCGGCTCGAGGACAAAAAAAAAAAAAAAGAAAAACACGCGTGCGCGCGGCGGGGCAGGCGGGCCGGCCATCGAGCACTCGCCCGTCCGTCCGGCCGTCCGGCAGCGCAGCCAGCGCGCTCCGAGCAGAAGCCAGGGACCGAGGCCAGAGGCGGCCCGTGCGGCCCGCCATGGAGGCGCCGCCGCCATTGTTCCCCGCGGCGCCCGCCCCGCTCGCCGCCCGCAGCCTCGCCCACGGCCGGTCGCGGCCGCAGCCCGCCCCGCTGCTCCCGTCGCTCGTCGCCGGCCCGGGCCGCCAGGGGGCGCGCCGGGCCCCGCGCCACGTCACGGCGCAGCCGCCGTCGCGATTGGCGGACGGCGCGGCTATAAAGGGAGGGCGCAGGCGGCGGCCGGATCTCTTGCGCCGCCATCTTAAACCCAGCTCCCTACAACGCTCCGCCGCCGCGCCCGCCAGCCGCCCCGCACGCCAGCCGGCCGCCGCCGACCGCCCCGCCGCAGCCATGGAGGACGTGAACGAGTACAGCAACACGGAGGAGTTCGCGGAGGGATCGAAGATCAACGCGAGCAAGAACCAGCAGGATGACGGGTACCGCACGCTTGTTTTCTCCCACGCCGCGCGCCCCGCGCCCCTCGGCAGCCGCGCGCTGGCCCCGGTCCCTCCCTCGCCCCGCGAGCCCGCCGGGCCCTGCTAGCTTTGGAAGGAAGGCAGGCAGGCAGACAGGCCAAAGAAAGAGCCGGGGCGAGCGGGGGGCGAACGGAGAGGCCCGGGCGGGTGGGGGCAGGGCGGCGGCGTCGCGGCCCCGAGTGCGCAGGCGCCGGCCGGGGGCGGGGCCGGCTCGCCCCCCGCTGCAGCTGCCGCGTCCTGCCTGCGCGGGTGGAGCTGCCCCGCGTGGGTGTCCCCGGGCCGGGCACCAGCACAGGACGGGTCGTCAGCCGTGCCTGCCGGTGGCGAGGGACTTTGGAGGAAGCAACTTAGGATTTGGGGGTTTCCAAACCGACTGGCTTCCTGCCCTGGGCCCCGAGAACGTTGCGTCCGCTGGTCTGATGGGGATTTTTGTTGAGTTCCGTCTGTAGTGGCCTCAATCGTGTCTGTAAAAATGTTGTTTCCGTTTACTTGCATGTAACCCGAACGTCACAGTGTTTAATCATTGGACTGCAGTTATTAGCATTTGAGTTACTGTTAAGCTTTCTTTAAAAATAACTTTTATTTCTAGTAAAATGTTTATTGGAGGCTTGAGCTGGGATACAAGCAAGAAAGATCTGACAGAATATTTGTCTCGATTTGGGGAAGTTGTAGACTGTACAATTAAAACAGACCCGGTCACTGGAAGATCAAGAGGATTTGGATTTGTGCTTTTCAAAGACGCTGCTAGTGTGGATAAGGTAGGGTGTGTTTGTGAGTGAGCGCTTTGATGGGTCTGGCCTTCAGCTATTGCTTGTCATGTTATGAAACTTTGTTTTTTCTAGGTTTTGGAACTAAAAGAACACAAACTGGATGGTAAATTGATAGACCCGAAAAGGGCCAAAGCTCTAAAAGGGAAAGAACCCCCTAAGAAGGTTTTTGTAGGTGGATTGAGCCCAGACACTTCGGAAGAGCAAATTAAAGAATATTTTGGAGCCTTTGGAGAGGTGCGCGGTGATTATGATGACTCCTGTGTTTAGGAACCAGCCATCCCTGGTCCATGCCTTTCCTTGAGGGTCGGAATAGGTTGCTGGGCCGGTCCTTTCCCTGACCATGTACCTTAATTGGGCTTTGTGTGCCTTGATGGAAACCAGTTCCAAATTTGCTAGCTGCTCAGACTGATTCATAAGAGTGATGAGTGAAGATCAGGTGCCATGTGCCCTGTGGGCCAAGTGTGAGTGAGTGGAGGGCGCCTGCTCTCAGTGTGCTGTGCTTTGGTAGTGCGGTGAGCCAGCCAGGACAGCTGTGCATCAGTGGGGCCCCGTGGATCCCCAGTGGAAGCTTAAGAGGACCTGGGAGGTTGGAGGCCCCTTGGTAACTTTTGTTTCCTATCTGAAGTTGAGTGTACCTCTTGGTTTCAGATTGAAAATATTGAACTTCCCATGGATACAAAAACAAATGAAAGAAGAGGATTCTGTTTTATCACATACACAGATGAAGAACCAGTAAAGAAATTGTTGGAAAGCAGATACCATCAAATTGGTTCTGGGAAGGTAAAGCCATTGAAGGAGGTTTTTACTGAAGTAAGGTCTCAGTCTGTGTGGAGAATGAGGTAAACCCGTATCTACATTTTTGTTTGTAGTGTGAAATCAAAGTGGCACAACCCAAAGAAGTCTATAGGCAGCAACAGCAGCAACAAAAAGGAGGAAGAGGTGCTGCAGCCGGCGGCCGAGGAGGTGCGCGGGGTCGTGGCCGAGGTGAGACTGCATGCTTGGAGAGGGACTTCCTGGCGTGAGCAGCATCCTGTCACGTTAGAACACACTCCTAAGAAGGCACAGCTAAATTGAAAACTGTTCTATTGTGAGAAAGTGGGCAACAGGGAATAGGGGAGGTGTTACTAGTGAGTCTGCTGGTTTCCCTTGAAGCTCTGATCCTGTGCTCACAGACAGGAAGTAATATCATTAGATTAAATGACTAGAATCTTTGATTTAACTGGAGTAGCCTATGGTGTATGCAATGGGAAAATAGAATACTTACCTGTGAAATTGGGGAAGCTTGCTAATGGCATAATTGGACTTTGGGCCACCTTGCTAATTTTACAGGTGAAAAATTCTAAAGCAGATGGCTCTGTATCCACCCATTGTCTTTAACACAGCATGAGGGACAGAAATGCGTCATGTTGTATTAGGAATGGAGACTCAGAAGTTGTTTTCTAATGATCATTGTGCATTGTTGCAGGTCAGGGCCAAAACTGGAACCAAGGATTTAATAACTATTATGATCAAGGATATGGAAATTACAATAGTGCCTATGGTGGTGATCAAAACTATAGTGGCTATGGCGGATATGATTATACTGGGTATAACTATGGGAACTATGGATATGGACAGGGATATACAGACTACAGTGGTAAGAACATTTAACTTAATTTCATAAACCAGTGGTACAATCCCAGTTTGAAGTTGTGGGGTTGGGGGTTTCTGCTTCCTGGCATGCTTTGGAGTCTTCTTGAGGCGTGAGGGGTGATTTTGCTAATTCAGAGAGCCGGTTACCAGAATATTTTGGATGTGTAGCTTATGGCTACTATATTATGACAAATAACCTTAAGACATTTGTTCACTAAACAGTGTTGCAGAATTGATTTTTTTAATGCTTTCAAAGAAGCCGTTTCATAGGAAACATTTCTTTTCAAAATAGGCCAGCAGAGCACTTACGGCAAGGCGTCTCGAGGGGGTGGCAATCACCAAAACAATTACCAGCCGTACTAAAGGAGCACTGTAGAGGAAACAGGTGTGTATAAGAGTGCATGAAACAGTTCAAGTGTCTACATTTAATTTAAAGATCAATAGACAAATGGAAACAAGTAAAAGCAAAATATCATGTAGCTGTTTTGACTAAATTGTTAATTTTTTAATCTATGAGCCTGTTTTGCCTAAAGTGTCTATAGATCTTTAACTTTAAAGTCTTACCTCACCTTCTTTAGTATTACAGAAAAACTTAAGAGTTTTTCTGTTTGCTTTGTGTACCAGGCGGTCTAGAGGAATAATTAAACTTTTTAGAACTATTAACAGGTAAAGTACTGAAAGGGGTACAACTTAAGGAAAACAAGAATGTTGTCTTCTAACTCTGACATTATACCTTGTTTGTACCCGCCAGCGGGAACTTCATTGCAGGCCGTGTGTCACCCTGACCACGTCTATCTCTGGGGGTCGCACGTTGCGGGCAGAGCGCAAGGCATACACCAGAAAACGCTGTCCTGTGGTATGGTCTCTTCCAACTTCATGTACCAGCGTAAAGATTAAAGTGGAAAACTTCAGACTTTGGCTTCTTTTTTAAATCTTTTTGGAGATTAAGTGTCTAAACTTAACTTAAATGGTTTTTTACAGGAGTTAAAGTACATAAATGCCTTTTTACAGCTTAATCATTTTGGTCTTCTGTTTAGTGTTGTATTTCAATTGTGGAGCCTCATTTTAAGTGTTCATTCTTTAAGATTTAATGCTTGCTTTTCTTTTTATAGCTAATAGTGAAATCTACAAACCAAAACAAGAACTTTTAAATCTGGAATATAAATTAAAGATCATATGCAGGAAAGTAATTCACTTGCTCGTACTCTAATACCCCACCCAAAATCTTGTTTGTGGCAGTGTTTGGTTTGGCTTACTAGAGATGTTTCCAGTGGGCCATAATTCGTTCCGCCTATTAAGAGTGGAACTGTTGCATTCCATCAGTGGATGGGAATTTGGTATGATTGGGAACTCCAGGATGAGTTACTAAATTGTCCAAACTGCATTTTGACAACAGATAATGCATGTGATCTTTAATTATTGAACAATAAAGTGAGGACTTAAACAGTTCATGAAAGTGGACCTTTGAAAGCCTGTCAGGCTCGCACAGATGTAATTGCTGTTTTGTTTTTGTTTATAGGAGATGCTAAAGAAACCATCTTGCAAGAGGACATTGAAGATTGGTCTTCTGTTGATCTAAGATGATTATTTTGTAAAAGACTTTCTAGTGTACAAGGCACAAATGTGTCCAACTGTAAATAGCCGCCAATAGTTTTCTTTGTTTTTACTTTGTCCTTTGCTATGTGTTTAAGACTCAATGTGGATTTGTGTTTATACAGATTTTATTTGTACGATTTCTTTTGTTAAACCTCAAATAAATGCTTCCTTATGTGATTGTTTTTCTGCGTCAGGTATACTACGTAGCTCTGTAAAATGTACTTTTAAATAAGCAATAATTAAGGCAGCTTATTAGCCTATAAAGACATGGAGACGCTATGGTCCTTGATGGATAACCCAGCCAGTGTCACTCTGTCGCCCAGGCTTTTAGGCACACCCTGTGCTCACCAGGGCTTTAATTTCCTGGTTATTTGAAGCTTCTACTACCCTCAAGGAATCTAATCTCTGGTTATCTGGAAGTTATGCAAGTCATAGCATTGGGATTGGTGTAGGCTTTCTAGTAGGCCCTATGTGTTACAGATTGTGTTTTCTAGGAGTTGTTTGTTTGTTCTCAACACAAAGCTTGCTGATGTAATGGCTGCTCTTTGCTTTGTTTCTATCTCTGGGAAAGTTTATGATTTTCTAATTGCTTGCTAGAGTTCGTTGGCAGTCTGCCTATAAAAGCTTGCACTAATTGCAATACCCTGACTGAAGATCTTTTGGTTAAAAAAAAAAATTCCAGATACATGCAGGAAACAGTACTATAAAGCCAGTAGGATCTCTGGTTTAACAGAACGTTGGAATAGTGGCAGAATACCTGTGTTCAGACAGCAGGTTGTAGCTACCACAGATGAAGTGTTTCGTACTTAGGCATTCTTAGGAAGCTGTACTAGTCTGTTACATGGTGAGTTTTTCACTAATAGCTAAATCTCATTTTTAATGCAGCTCATGCACAAGTGGTAGTTATGTGTTTATTTCCATATTCGGGCACATGAAGGAATTTGACTTTAAAGGTAACTTTAGGTCACATGCTTTCTGGTGCATTTGAAAAGATTTAGGAAAAAGTTTTAAATTCACTGGTTGGATTTAGGACAGCTTGTTCCCATGGCTCAATCTTAGCTGCTGGAGTTGGCATACAAGTTTGAACGTAGAGTGGTTGACTGCACACTCTATGCACTGACTTTTGGTTTGGTTTTTCAATTTTTGTGTGTGCTGATTCCTGCCTCTTTAAAAAATTTTGATGCCTGCAACTTTGTTCAATGATGTTTGTATTTGCGGGGCTACACAGTGCTCTTGGCCTTGCTTTGTTACTGTCTGACTGACCTTGGGCCTAGGCCAAGTACCACTGTTGATTTGGACCCGCAACTTGAGGGAATGGAGGAGAGGGTCTTGTTAGTAGGTATAGTAGGGTAGTGAATCCTGTAAGCTCGAGTTTATGATTAGGTGATGAGTTGACATTGAGATTGTCTTTTTCCCTGGTCAAACGTGAATAATAAAAGCTTTTCAAATAAAATCCAAACTCTTAATTAAGTCTTGATATGTATTACTTTGAGAAAATATGCCATGTCTACAGGATACTGTCTGAGGTATTTATAAAGAACTAAAAGGGGAATGAGAATGTGCTTGTTTTGGCTTCCAGGGGCTAACAGAAAACCCGAGTATCATTAGTTAACTTATCAGTGTCAAACTTGGCCGCTTTTACAAGACTGGAGATAGCCTGTTAGGATGAACAGTAAATCACAACTAAAGGGCCTGATTGGTTCAATCACCAGGATGTCAGTGGTTATTTAAGAACATTCCGTATTGGCATGTGTAATTATGTAAAAAGTCTGCTTTAAAACTTGGCCTGGTGGGTTTGTTGCTATTTGAATCAGTCAGAAATTGTATTGGCATGAAGATATATGGGTTGTTCTAGGGTTGGTAGAGCTTTTATGTATTTTTGGTCTGAAGGGCTTGGCTTAATAGCAGCAATTGAAATAGACCCTGTAAACTCCAAGAAAAGATTGGGGGGGTTAAAGAGTACATGTGTAACCACGCTGATACTACCCTTTTCTGTTGCCAAAGTGTCCCCATCTGCAGTGGGATTGCACTGTTTGAAGTATTGAAAGTTAGACGTGTTTTCCATGACTTTTAAGTTACCTAGAAGAAGCTATCTTGGGTTCTTTCAGATCATGTTTTTAAAGGTTCACAGGTGAAGGTTAGGCCAGTGTCAGACTTAAAAGGTTATGAGGGGCTGCACAGGGCTAACCAGCAGGCAGAAGCCATCAGACTTAAATCTCAGGTGGGTAGTTTCCACCCAGGTTTGTTGAACATTAATGTTAACCCAGTTGGGTTGTGGTTCCCACTAGTGACTGCAGGAGCCAGAATGGGGGTGGTGATCTAGGTTGGACATGGCTGCAGTGTCCATTGGCATGGGAATGAACTGGTTCTGGGGCATGGCATACTGGGTTTGATTCTGGTACTCACAGGTGTAGAATGATCTGGGTTAGGTCTTGGCTCCCAGTGAACTACATAAGAACTGTGTTGGGGCATGGACCAGGTAGGTGTGTGGCTGGGCTGTGACACCCAACAGTAAGAACCAGAATGGGTGTGGGCCACTTTCCTGCTAGGACAGGAGGTGGACTAAATCAGCCTGGGCCAAAGACCTACTGATGTCTGCAAGATCTGCCACTAGGACACCTAATAGCAGAGCTTGGTGAACTCTGTCAGGACGCAGTCCTTGAGGGTGAGCGCAAGAACCAAGGCTGGGAGCAGTCCAAACCAGACCAGTTTACAGTACCCACAGGCATACAAGAGGCTCAGATCTGGGGATAGGTGAGGCTGAGCCAGTTCGTGACACACTGTCAGATCTGAGAACCACGACAGGCTGTGTTAAGCCACACGTGAGACCTAGGGAGGGGGTGATGCAAGCCTGGTAGGGGAGGTGTGGAGACCCCTGCTGGGTCAATGTACCTGCTGGTGAGCCTGAGAGCTGGGGTTGGAGGCAGACCAGGCTGGTCATGGCTGCAACAGGAACCGGGTTAAGGGGAGAGCCAGACTGGGCTGACTATATCAGAATAAGGCTGACTATACCAGAGGAAGGGCAGGATGTTGGGCTTTGCTGCAGCATTGGCAAGTGCTGGGACTGGGGACAAGTCCTGTCAAGCTAGACTGCCAAGCCACCTGGAGAGTGCAAAATCGGGTATGGAGTGGGTTCGGTAGGGAAACTGGGCACTCCTCTTATGGGCTGCAGCTCCCACTGGTGAGCATGAGAACCATGAAGGGAGACAGGCCTGTCTAGATAAATGGTGGCACCCACAGGCATGAGTGAGAACTAGAGGGTAGATTCAGTTGGGTACGAGAGCTGGATGGGAGGTGGGCCACACCAGATCAGTGCACTGCACATGCTGGCAGACACAGGGACCAGGGCTGGGGGGCCAAGCTGTGAAGGTTATTAGTGGTTGCTCTAACTGGGCTGTAGCTCCAATGGTGTATGTGAGGGCTGAGTGTGTGTCGGAGAGGGTTGGGCTGGACTGTAGCATCCATTGGTTTGTGTAAGAGACAGGGCTGGAGATAGATCTGACCTAGTAATCGCAAATATCAGTGTGTACTAGTGGGTGCACAGAAGTCAGATCTGGAATGACCTTGGATGAGATTTCTTTGAGGGCCCCCGCACCTGAACCTCTGGACTCCAACCATGGGGAGAGTGGCAGGACCTGTGATCAAACAGTGGATTGCATGTCTCTGAACAGGGATTCCTCAGGTACTGAGGACAGCACACTCAGATGCACATGGAGGATTTGGAAGTCCATTGGAGCCTGCAGAAGATAACTTGGTACAAAGCAGAGAAAGGAGGGCAGAACAAATTGGTCAATTACCCCCCAGCAAAGCTTGACAGCAAATACCTGGCCGAATGGAGACTCTAAAAAGGGGACTGTGTCAGCTAATGGAACTTGGAAGGAAGGATTTCCTCATCCTTGCATCTGCAAGATTGAGAGCATGTCAGAACTATCAAAACCACTTGGACAGAACCCTTGGAACATGCTGCACATTGGGACCCTGGGTTGACATCAGGTGGCCATTCCCCATCCTCAGGGAACTGATGCAGAGGCTGGGTGTGCTTGTCGCCTTGTCTCAGCCTTCCCCCAGATATGGAAGAAGATAAGGAAGATGTGGAAACAGTGGTCTCACCACTTTCCCCTAGTCCTGAACACTTCCCACCCCGATCAAGTTTGTAAACAACATCAGAAATAAAATAAAAAGTGAGATGCTATGGTTGCTCTTGGCTCTTGCACTAAGCCATGAGCCCCCTGGTCTCTGATCAAATCTATTGTTTCTCTAAAAAAAAAAATAAATAAATAAAACCTAGAATGTCCAAGCCTAGGATTTTAGTTTTCTCAAGACTGGCTGGCACAAAGTAGGAAATGAGAACATTTAGAAAAGTTTTTATCTGATGTTTCTTTTGAAAAGTTAACCAAAATTATTAGCAAAAAATGCAGCTTTTTTTTAAAGGATGTGTTTTTACTGCAAAGGCACATTTAAAGAGAGGAGAGATAGAGCGTCATCCACTGATTCACTCCCCAAATTGCCACAATGGCCATAGCTGAGCTCATGAGGAGCCTCCTCCAGGTCTCCTATGCGGGTACAGGGTCCCAAGGCTTTGGACCATCCTGCACTGCTTTCCCAGGCCATAAGTAAGGAGCTGTACATTGCACATATTGGATGTTGGTGCTTGCAGGGAGAGGATTGCCAACCAAGGCATCATGCCAGGCCCAATAAAGATGCATTCTGTACTTAATGTTTTAACTCTAGTCCCAAGAAAATCGCAGCCATTATTTTAATGGGTTTAGTCACTTTTATAGTCAATAAAATTTATTGTATTTGCTGTCATTAGTGAGGCTGCACAAAAGAAATTTCAGATTTTTAAAAATTATTTGAAACAGCTGCATTTGCTGATTTATTCCTCCAAATGGCTGCAACAGCTGGCCCTGGGTCAAGCCAACCTAATGAACTAGGAGCTTGCTCTGCATCTCCCACATGGGTGGGAGTGCTTGGGCTGTCCGCTGTGGCTGCTGCTTTCCTAAGTGCATCAGAAGGGAGCTGCAGCTTCTTCTGGGTCTCCCCTGTGGGTGCAGGGTCCCAAGGCCTTGGGGTGTCCTTGACTGCTTTCCCAGGCCACAATCAGGGAGCTGGATGGGAAGCAGGGCTGCCAGGGTTAGAACCAGCGCCCATATGGGATCTTGGCATGTTCAAAGCAGCAGAAATGGAGCAGCCTGGACACCAACTGTTGCCCCTAAGAGATGCTGCTATGACCACTAGCCAGTCACCTACTGCGCCATGACACCACCCCTTCCATGTCCTTAAATACTAACAGTGACCTGGTGAACACTCACATGGAGTGATTTGTTGCTGAGAGAAAAATTCTGTTGAAAGCTAAAATTAATTTTAAAGTTGGGGAAGTTAGCATGTTAAACATCTATCAAACTTTTAAAAAAAGGATAAGTATGTTAATTTGAAAGGCAGAGTTAACACAGGTCTTCTACCCAGTAGTTCACATCCCATATGGCTGCCCTAGCCAGGGCTAGGGCAGGCCAGCCAATTTCAGGATTCCAGAGCTCCACCTGGGTCTTCCATGTGGGTCCCTGGAGGCATCTTTGGGCCATCTTCCCAGATGCATCAGGTGGGAGTTGGATCAGACTTGCTCATGGGATGCCTGCATTCCAGGCTGAAGCTTAACTCACTGTACCATAACTCTGGCCCCTACCAATTTTTTTTTTTTTAATTTTCTGGAGTCAGCATTGTGGCATAATTGCCTGAGCCTATGCCTGTAGTGTCAGAATCTCATATGGGTGCTGGTTTGTGTTCTGACTGCTCTACTTCCCAAGCAGCTCCCTACTTATATCCAGAAAGAACAAAAGGGGGATGAGGTCCAGCGTGGTGGCCTAGCAGCTAAAAGTAAGTCCTCACCTTGAAAGCGCCAGGATCCCATATGAATGCTGGTCCTAATCCCGACAGCTCCACTTCCCCTCCAGCTGCATGCTTGTAGCCTGGGAAAGCAGTCGAAGACCTCTCAAAGCCTTGGGTTCCTGCACCCATATGGGAGACCTGGAGAAAGTTCCTGGCTCCCAGCTTCGGATCGGCACTGCACCAGCTGTTGTGGTCACTTGAGTGAATCATTGGACGGAAGAGCTTCCTCTCTGTCTCTTCTCTTCTCCGCATATCTGACTTTCCAGTAAAAAATAAAATAAACCTTTAAAAATAAAAAAGGGGGGGATGGCCCCAGTCCTTGAGCCCCTGCACCCAAGTGGGAGATCCAGATGAAACTCCTGGCTTCTGGCTTTATATCAGTCCAGTTCCAGCCATTGTGGCCATCTGTGGAGTGAAGCTGCAGCTGGGAGCCAGGAACGCAGTGCAGTCCTCCTGTGTGGGGAGCAGGGAGACTAGAGCTATGGCTGCTGTCTGTTCCTGATGTGGTCTCAAGAGGCTGGAATCAGGTGCTAGGCTTGAGAAGCCCAACCTGGCCATCCTGACTTG